AGTTTGAACTTATTCGATTTTGGTGGTCAAAGGTCAAGGTCACTTTGACCTTGTGTCCGTCTCATTCTTGTGAAAGCAATATCTCAACACCTTGAAGGAATTTCTTCAAATTTGGCAGAACCATTGAAATTAACAATGAAGTGATTAGATTTTGATGGTCAAAGGTCAGGGTCACTGTGACCTCATAAAACCTGTGGATGCATGTGTAACATGGATGTAACTGTCACTGCAACTTGACTGTTTCGTGGAGGCATACAATCATGATTGGTAATTTTAGCTCTCAGGAGTTGAGGTGACCAAACCAGACTTTGTGTCTGCTGGATGTGTAAATAGTCAACTGTTAGCAGGTTAACAACTACAACTTGGTAGGACAGTGGTGCATTAGGACTCTGTGTCTGGATTTGTCTGTCTGCCTCTTTGCTTCAATACTCTGCATTCTGCTACTAATATTGTGTTGTTAAAGGCCCCTTATATTTCGTAAAATACATATCACTGCCTACCATGTAAAAATTACCAAAATAGCATGGATTGAAAAATTCCTAAGCTATCCTCTTAGAAAATATGAATTACATGTTTTATTTGGTTGTTTTGACGCTGGTAATTTGTACAGAAGGTATTGTGTGTTACATTAAGCCACTCAGAGATAATGTTGCCTCTGGGAAAGAGAATATGCAGTTTGCCAGAGGGTGTTTTCAATCACCTGAAAATGACCCCTACAGCATATCTCTTTTTCATCCACTCACTCGGTCTCTCTCTGTGTGAGTCTGTCTGCCAGGGCAGCAGGATCTTGGCCTATCCTTGATCCAGCTGAGAGTCAGCGGAAGCACAGGCAGAGAACAGGTTCACCACTGATTAATGGGACATCACTTAATAGGGCCTCACAGAGGTCAGGGAGCGAGGGAGAGTCGGAGAACGCGCAGACAGGCTAAGACAAACAGTGAAGTCCTCGGCACTTTCAGCCAGAATAGCAGATTTGCATTTTTTCAGGTCACTCAACCAAAAACAACAACCCATCCATCTCGCTCAATTTCACTCTTTAGCTCTTCATTAATTGGATAGAGTGGGTGAGTATTTATGGTGTGTGAGCGTCCGTGCGGCTGTGGTTGTGATGCATCAACGAAATGTAGACAAAAGGGAAAAGAGATGAGAATGTACCACATTAAATAAAGTTGTGTTGTTATGGAGCTCAAATGGATTTTCTCCAGTACCTTTGAGTCAGCAAGTTACTCACTTTTGCTTTTGTTTGCTGCTGCATCAGTAATTCTGGAGAGATTATCTAAGTTATTTGAGACCATATTGGCTGGACACCACACAAAAACATTACGTAGGTGGCCATTCCAGGTTCAAACCCTTTTTTGCTCAACAAAAGGAAGCAACTCAATTGCCAGAATCAAAGCCGCAAGCAGGTGTCAGGCTAGGCAAAGTCATTTATATTTCCACAGCTGTCACAGCATACATTGTGACGGAAGATTAGAGTTATGTCTGTGGTAATATCCTACATATACCTAAAAATAAAGGGTTATTCTCTACTGGCCTTCCCCGGGGAGCTTCATGCCACCAACTCCATTGCCTAGCAAAGGTGGCACCCACAGCTTCAGAGAGGCAGGGGTGCGAGCAGGCAGAAAGGCAGGTGTCAGGTCTGTGCAGAGCACTGGAACAAAAACAATGACGCATCACTGACAGCATGATAATAACATCCAAAACATAAGTTTCACTCTCAGTGGTTTCTGTGACATAATACTAATGTTTAAAGGCACAAAAATACACAGAGCTACCTATACTATAGGGTCCCACCTAGTGGAAAAGTCACACCACACCACTGTTTCTATGATTTAAAATATTTTTACTGAGAAGCCTATATGTAAAGCAGTAAAACAGACTTCCATCACATCTCATTTCAGACATTTAACACCAAAAGACAAACAACACAAGAAAGTAAAAAAGGCAAAACAAATACAACACCATAGAACACATATGTCAAGTAGCTTATTACTTGTTTCCATGATTACAACATGGACTTGTTCACATGTATTTTTATTAGGGAAAGTAACAGGGTGTGTTCCCTGGACGCGTCAATTGTGAGTTTAAGATTTTTATCTGTTAGAGACAAAAGACAAGTACCAAGCAACATCACTGGAGAAGGAGGCAGGAGTACCACCACAAAAGTTTAGCAATGTACTGCTGTGGATGAAGGCAACGGCAAAATGCCTTTTTGCTCCCTTACAAAAAGGCCCACCAAAAAGAGAAAAAAAAATCAATATCAGTTCAGGATTATATTTAGAATATTTTCACCACTTTACCTTGCAGTCAGACAGCCCTTTCCGATGGGAAGCTAAAGCTGTTATATCCGTTTGTGCTCTCTTCAAAGCCACCAGAAAAGTCTTGTGGCCCCTGAAGACACAGACCTTAATGCTCCTGGAAACCTCAGCGGCTCTTAAATCTTGAACAATGCTTCCACTGCTTCCATTTCAGTCATACATGTGTTTTTCTTCTTTGGGTATGTTTCTCTGAAGTTGCTGTGTTTTGTGGCATTTTCATAAAAGGCATGTCTGTGAGTCCAAAATATGAACAACACAGAATTTATACAAGTAATATGCATCTTCAAACACACAGAGCCTGTTGGTTTTGAACATTAAACATGAATGCAGCAGGAGTAGAGAGACACTTGGAGTCCAATAGTGCTTATTAAAAGAGACTCTGTACCCCAAGGTGGCAACAGTGGCACTTCATCTACAATCCCATCAGGACCTGAACTATATAAACTTGTAATGCTGCCTTTCAAAAGGGCATGAAACAGTAAACCATATAAGTTCTTCCATTGCGTTAGTGTCTGAATAGGTCATGACAAACTCAAACTCTAACTGAAAAGAAACGGTGGTTGGTGTGTGTGTGTGTGTGTGTGTGTGTGTGTGTGCGTGTGCGTGTGCGAGCATGTGAGTGTTTTGTGAACCACTTCTCTCAACAGCGTTGGTACTGTGCAAAGAGTGCTGTAAACTACATATATTATCAAGCAGACAGCCAATACTTGAATAACTCGTGGGCTCTTGTCAAACCTGTTCACTAGAAACAAAACGCAGTAACTTCCTCCACAGGTTGCATGGCAACCACATGTGAAGACAGAGGCAGGTAGTCTCATCATCCTGTAGCTTTCAGGCATGTTTAGCATTGAACATTCTTGGCTCAAGTGGGGCAGTTATTTTCTGACATTGCAACTAAACTAGTGCGTGACATTGTTTGTTTTTAGAATGATGTGGGTTTTTTGTTTGTTTGTTTTTATGCAAGTCTTGGTAGCTAATTGAAGTCATGTTGAAGAGAATGGGGAAGCTGTTGACTTGAGGGCTGCAAGGATTAGTCGACTAATCGATGACTAATTGACTATTAAAATAATCAGTGACTATTTTAGTAGTCAACTAATCGGTTTGAGTCATTTTTCATAGAAAAGTACCCCAAAATACTCTTACTGCAGCTTCTTATGTTCAAATATTGGCAGCTTTACACACTTTCCCATGATGGTGAACTAAAACCCTTTGGTGTGAGTAAGAAACAAGACATTAGATGACATAATTTTTCAACATTTTAACACATTTTTCGATAAAATGATTAGTCAACTAATCGAAGAAATAATCGACAGATTAGTCGACAATGAAAATAATCGTTAGCTGTAGCCCTAGTTGACTTAAAATCAACTTTTCCATTTGTATGCCTCTGCGCCAGCAATAGCTGTGGCTGGAGGCATTTGTTATCAGGTTGTTCATATTCTCGTAATTGTGATACGTCAAAAACACCTTGAGAGAATTTCTTCATATTTGGCACAAACGTTCACAGGTCAAGGTTACTGTGACCTTGCGTCTGTCTCATTCTCATGAACACGATATCTCAAGAACACCTTCAGAGAATTTATTCTAATTTGAAACAAACGTCCACTCGGACTCAACAATGAACTGATTAGAATTTGGTGGTCAAAGGTCAAGGTCACTGTGACCTTACGTTGGTCTCATTCTCTTGAAAGCAATATCTTAGGAAGGCCTTTTGAAAGATTCTTCAAATTTGGCACAAACGCTCACCTGGACTGAAGAATGAACTAATTTGAATTTGGTGGTCAAAGGGCAAGATCACTGACTTCACAAAACATGTTTTTGGCTATAACTCAAGAATTTATTTGTAATTATTACAGAAGGACACAAATGTTTAATATGATATGATGATGAAGTGATGACACTTTATATCCAAAAGGTAAAAGGTGAACTTTACTGTAATGACAAAACACTTTTCTGGCCATAACTCAAGGTTATAACTCAGGGACAGAAGAGACATTTGGTCAGATACTGAATAGGTGACTCCAATCTTGGGTGCCCACCTTGAAACTGTGCTGATTGTATAGATCCTCTGTGCTGCCGGGGGAAAGATCTGTGTGAAGCATCCATTTTTTTTCACAGACACTGATGTAAACTAAGTGCATCTTGACTGGGGCACTGAAGCAAACAACCAGGCAGTGTTAATTCTAGTTGTTTGAACCTCCTTTATTTAGTGGAGTGGAAAATAAGGCAAGTTTTTGCTTGCGTGTGTCTCGGAAGAATTTTTTAAAAAGCATGATTGGTTCTTTTTCGTGCACGTCATAAGACATTTGCATAAAGAACTCACCTTCCTCGCATTGTGCTGCTTAGTGGGTGACGCTGGCATCCTGTTGCCTCTCCTGTCTTTGAGTCCTTAGGTGTGACTGTGTGTAAACATCATGCATTGGTTTAGACCATTGTCACAACATGCCTGAAACATGGTTTTAGTAACAGTATAATCATCAAACACATATTGACCAGGTACCTACCAAAATATGTTTAAAACTTTGATGGTTTCAGTTTTCGTTTTCTGTTTCTCAGTTAGTGGTTTATAGTCGCACTTTAATGCATGGCAAAGTTTTCTGATAGAGCAGTTAGTTTGTTGTTCAACTGAGGACTATATTACAGGCTTGCATTTAACCACGTTCTTTTTGTTTTTTTCTGAAGTCTCACATTTTCAGGAGGAGTAAACGACGAACGACACAAGAGGTACATTTTTTTAAACAGCATCACGTTTTCATTCTTCCATACTCATAAGCCAAAGACAAACAGACATTGCTCATCACAGTCATCACACTTTTCATCATCATTTACCTCATCAGTATAGCTTTCACTTTTGGGCTAAAACTTGCAGTGCTACCAAATCATTACTTACCATAAATATGTAACGCCATTTTGTTAAGAATTTTATACAGTTAGTTCCAGTATGGTGGCATCATCCCTAACTTTCCTCACAAATCTAGCAGAATCTAGAAAACTGGGGAAACGTTTCTCTTAAGATACACTGAGTTGTTGTCCTTTAAGAGTGTTTTGCACCTCCAGTTTCTCCGTTGGCTCCTGGCCAACAGTAAATTCAGGAATGAATGAGTAACAGTGAAGAGGTGATGCAGAACACTGCCTGTGTTCATCCAACCTTCTCTGCTTCGGTAAAGATTTGAAAACAGATGGTGTGACTGTCTCACTCTTTCTCCTGAGTTTTACAGTAGGGAGAGACAGAGAGATAGAGACTGCATTTGCTTGCACATAATCTGATTATAGCCAATAAGCAGAGTGAGGCATCACACCAATGAGGATGTTTACATGGGTCGCTTGTTGGAGCGTTCCATTAATTTACCCGTTTCCATGCTACAGAGCAAAGTGACTAATGCCTGAAGACGCCCCGTCACATTATTCTGCAGTGTCATACATTCCCTCTAGTAATCACCCCCATAAACACATCCATGATGCTAATGTGGTATAGCCTTGTGGTATAGTGTAGGGCTGCTGTCCAAATGTGTTTTTCCTGTAAGATGGGGCAGGAGAGAGTTGCAGAACTTTTGTCCAACGGCTACATTGCAAACTGTTTAAAACTTCTCTAGATATCTTACTCTGATCATGCGCATGTAACCATTACATAATTCACATTAACATTTAATCAGTGTGGTTTATAAATGTCCTCTTCCTTGCTTTTACCTCTTTCTTGATCACATTATAATTTAATTCTTGGTGTGTGTAAACACGTAGCCAGTGCAAGCAGAGTTAGTGCCATAAGTGTTCTATTGATTCCCTCCATCTCTCTATTTGCGCCATGTTTACCTGAGTGTCTTTGGAGAGAAATGAAGTGGAGCTTTGGTTTGTGTGCTGTCGTCACTACAGAGACTCTTGAAGTCTTTAGGAGAGTACAATCTAGCTGTAGCCTTTCTCCCTGCTACAGGGAGGTCAGATTGGAGGTTGAGCCACGGGGCAGTGCTCCTGGAAATTGTTGGGATTTAGTTCCTTGTTCAAGGACACTTAAAATGATAACTCAGGGTCGAAGTGGGAAATTATTTTTACAGTGTCGCTTGTATGAACAAAGACCCACACTGCTCCCAGCTGAGTGTGGAGTTGCCACTGGAATTACTTTGTCCTGTACTGCTGCATTTACAAAAATTGTCCTTAGAAATTACAACTTGATAAAATGCAATAATGAGGCTGCACAGTCCAAGCTGAACATGTCATTCCCAGAGCTTTCTGGATGGGGATGGTGATTGTGCTGTGCAGAACATCCAATCACAATTTTATACATTGGAGAAAACATTTTATTCAAACAATAAAAATATTTAATGGTCTAGTGCAGTGTTTACGTTAGCCAGCATATGCCTTTTTTTTTTTGGATAGCCTATATTGTGTGACCTTTAAGATATATTGCCAAGACATATTACATATAAACTTGTATGATATAGACCAGATTTTTATAACAGACAGATCTATTTTTCCACCGTAGCGTGAAGGAGTGCCTCCCTGCCTCTTTAGAGCATACACCGAATCCATGGCAGTTAGCAGGCTCTGTCTGGGTAAAGGCATCACAGATCATGTTCTCTAGGAAGACCCTTAGAACACCGCAGGTCTCCTTATAGATCAGTCCAGAGATTCGCATCACCATAACGAGTCAGACGACAGATAGCAGTCTTGGTGACTCCCTGGATGTTATCACAAAGGACTTTACTGTGGCGCTTGGCACCTCCTTTACCAAGTCCTTTTCATCCTTTGCCTCTGCCACCCATCACTCGGATTAGTAGATTGCTTCTTCATTGAGACTTCCTTATATTCAAGTTATTTAATCTGACGTACTTGGAATACAAAGAGGATCAGAGGGTTTGTGTTTTTTTGTTTTTTAAAAGTACGCTATCATATGGCTATTTAAAACACGTGACCAGCAGTTGTTATAGATGGCCGGAATTCTGGGATAATGATGGCCATAATGGCTGTCCAAAAAAAAAGTCTAGAGTAAACTCAGGTCTAGTGTTTAGGATTTGGTGCCATCTAGCAGTGAGGTTGCAGATTGCAACCAACTGTAGCTTCTCCTATGGGCCAGACATGTAGAGAACTGCAGTGGCTGATGTGTATATCCCCCTAACTCCTACACACTTGACCTTTAGTATTAATTTCTCAATTCGTATCTCTAAAAAAAGTAGTATGCTTCTCTCTCTGTCTATCAGAGTGTTTTCTGTGAAAGCTTTTATCTTCAAATTGCTCCGAGCAGCAGCTTTGTGCTCAGATTATTCAAGGAAACCTTCTTGGCTTCTGCTTCATCACGTTACTGATCAATCTGCCAGTATTGGTCAATCACAGCTGTATTGGCAATTTTGTTAGCAAATGGATAGGCTGCATTTGCATCCGTATTTACTTTTTGCTTAATTCAAGATCTATGTATCAGTTGTATTAATGTGTTTCTTATTCATTATAAATTATAAAATAATTGGGATAACTTGCCAAATTCTTGTCACAGGAGAAGTGTTCCTCTTTCTGGTTCCTGCTTTTAAACAATATTAAATGCAAAGTAGATGTTTCTATTCTTCTTGCCAATTGTCTTGTTTTTGAAGTAATTATACTGTCAAAATCAATGGAATAATGCAAATTTAATTGCTACCTCTTAAATAGAGTGCTTCTATTTCATCGTTGTGACACAGAGGCGGAGAGTTGCACGGAAAAGTGGGTTCTTATCTGATAAGTTTGACATCTGTAGGCAGTGACCCACAGCGATACAGCAGCCGATTTCATCAGCCATCCAGACTCCTGCGCCATTCAATTTTTCTCCGAGATAATGGAGTGTTGGCAGGCTGGATCATGTAAACTGGCACAACGTGAAAACACACGAGCAAATAAAGTGCTTCAGCTTTTACTCTGTGCACACAATCTTTTTCTCTTCTGTCCTTCTGCATTTCGCCCTCTCATTTTTCTCTCTTTCTCTTCTTGTCTCTCTGTCCTTTAACATCTTTCAGGCATGCCTCCAACTCTCAATCCTCCTTTCTCCTCCTCTCATGAAGCCGCATCTCTCCCAGCCAGCCATGTCTGTCTGTTCAGCAGATGAGTTCTTAATGATTTATTGACGATGTTGTGGCTCTTCTTTAGAAGAGACCTCGCCGCTGTCCCAGAAAATCTTTATCTGAATTTTTAGCTCATATGATTTTGATGTCGGTGTGGCCCTGTGCACCGTGGAGTCGACCTGTCATACACACTGATAAACTGTACTGCATAACTGGTATTTCCCTATAGTACAGCATGTAGTCTTTTTCCCCCTTAGTCCTCTGTTTTCACCGCTTGTATTCTACTCCTCCAAATCACAGTGTATTTAGATGAGTCAGTCATCAGTTGTTCCAAGATAATAATAGTGGCTGACAAAAAAACAAAAATCTTCTGATCAGATTGATTTTTAAAGAGATGCATGTGTATGTGGAGGATTAACTTTTGCCTTGACTTACTGTCTGCAGGAATGCAACAGCAAGTTTGGCCACAAACATAAAACACTTGGTATTGTTTGACTTTTTGTGGTACTTATGTAAGGCCAGTATTATCTTATTGCAGATAGATGTGTCAAATATATTAGTCATGTTCCAAACAAGGATGTTTTTGGTATTTTGATCCTGATCCAAGTTCTTAAAAGCAACATTACACAAGAATTGGTAGTTTTGAGATTTGGTGCCCCCACAGTTTCTGAGTGGTACACCACTGTCGTGAATGCATAAGCCTGCAGAAAGGCAAACTGTTTATAGTGTTCTGGCATAGGCTGTAGTGCTCTGCCATGGAAAGCGACAGTCTAAAACTCTAGTGCCAATGTTATATATAAATGATTATGACAAAGGCTCTAATGTGATTGGTGTCATTCCTGTCTGACAGAGTCTGAACACGAGCTTTTGTTGACAAGCTGAAGGGTGTGAAACCTGTGAATACAACATCAGAAGCCAAATAACCATGTTTACTGACAGGGTACAGTAACAGAGGATTTTACAGAAATATTGTACACTGTGACACTAACACAAAAATAATTAAAATTTAAAAAAAAGAATGACATGTGGCTTAAGTTTTGCTGAAACACTGTTCTGTTATGTGGGCTTGGGCGGTACCAACCTTTTCATACTTTCATACCTTCCTTGAATTTCAACAGGGTATACGTTATATGACAGTATTAATGTACTGCCCACCCCCCTCAACTGGCAATGTCGCTACGATCTGTTGGCGTTTTTAGTCGAATTAATTGACCCCTTTAAGGCCAACATCACAATATAATCGTGATGTTGGCTGGAGGCTAGATAGGAGTGTCAAAGTGTTATTGTGTGCCAGAATAGGAGTCATGGCTCAAAACTTACATTTTATTGTAAACCAGCTGCCACTGCCTGTCTAACTATGGTTAAATGCGATGAGACGGACTGGACGGAGGCAATTATCAAAAAAGCTTGCATGTGCAGCACACACGTCATATCAGGTTAGGGAAAAAGTATTTTCTGTTGTAGGTATGAATAATGTTATATGTATTAAAGGTTATCATGTCCACCTAATCAGAAAGCCTCGCCCATTAAAAAACGTCAAGAAAGTGAATATTCTTACACCTATTTTCCTTATTAAACAGACAAATACAAAATTCTCATTTCTCTTTTTAACCGAACTAAATTTAACTGTTGTTAAGTCATCATAAAACAGATCACAAAAAAAACATTTCAAACTCAACAGAAACAGAATGCAACTTCCCAAAA